CGGATTTCAGAGATATATTCAGAGATATATTCAGCGCCACATTTAATGGTTTTACGACCGATCAAGTCTTGTGACTGTACGCCGTTGGTGCCTTCATAGATCTGGGAAATACGCAGGTCACGGATGCATTGCTCCACGCCCCATTCACGGATATAGCCATGGCCGCCGAAGACCATTTGCGCATCCAGAGTCGCCTGGAATGCAGTATCGGTCAGATACGCTTTTGCGATTGGTGTTAATAGCGCAACACGGTCATTGGCCTTTTTCACAGCTTCTGGATCTGTTGAGAACTTGGTGATATCCAGCTGTTGACCTACATATACCGCGAATGCGCGCGAAGCTTCATTGTTGGCACGTGCATTCAGCAGCATACGGCGTACATCACCATGTACCAGAATACTGTCTGCAGGTTTGTTTGGCGACTGAACGCCAGCCGCACTACGACCCTGTAAACGGTCTGTCGCATATTGCGCAGCATTTTGGTAAGCAAACTCAGAAGCGCCCAAGCCCTGGATACCCATTGACAGACGTTCATAGTTCATCATCACGAACATTGCCGCCAGCCCTTCGTTTTCTTTACCAACCAGGTAACCTTTCGCACCGTCGAAGTTCATCACACAAGTCGCAGATGCCTTGATCCCCATTTTATGTTCAATTGAACCAGGGCCAACCGGATTGCGTTCACCCAGTGAACCATCTGCATTGACTAGGAATTTCGGTACGATGAACAGGGAAATACCACGAGAGCCGGCAGGCGCATCAGGCGTTTTTGCAAGAACTAAATGAATGATGTTCTCAGCAAGGTCATGGTCACCGCCAGTGATGAAAATCTTGGTACCAGTAATGCTATAAGTACCATCATCATTACGTTCAGCTTTGGTCTTGATAATCCCAAGATCGGTACCTGCATGCGGTTCAGTTAGGCACATGGTACCTGACCATTCACCAGAGTAAATTTTAGGCAGATAGGTTTCTTTTTGCGCTTGGGAACCATAGCTGTTTAAAGCCATACCCGCACCCACTGAAAGAAGCGGGTAGAGCATGAAAGATGGATTGGTGGCAAACAGCATTTCATCAGAAAGTACTGTCAACATTTTCGGCATTTCCTGGCCGCCCCATTCTGCATCGGCACCCAGCCCGATCCAGCCGCCCTCAGCATATTGTTTGAATGCTTCTTTAAAACCAGCAGGTGTGGTGACATTGCCATTTTCATATTTTGCACCTTCTTCATCACCTGTACGGTTTAGAGGAAGCGTGACATTTTGTGCAAACTTTGCCATTTCTTCAAGAATAGCTTCTGCTGTAGCAGTATCCAAGTGGGCAAGGTTTTCATTGGCTTGCCAGAACTGTTCTGCATTGAAGACATCGTTCAGAATGAATTTCATGTCAGCAAGTGGCGCGTTATAAATTGGCATAGTGGGTCACCTGTTTTATTGTTTGATTGG